TTGGGCACTGCCCAGGCTCCCCAGGGCAGTGGGCACAGCCCCAAGGCTGCCAGAGCTCCAGGAGGGTTTGGCTGATCCTCTGGGGCACAGGGGGGGACTCTTGGGGCTGGGCCTGTGCAGGGCTGAGGGTTGGACTGGGTGATCCTGGTGGGTCCCTTCCAACTCAGCACATTCTGGGATTCTGTGACAGACAAGTTGTTCCTGGGCTGGAGACACCGCGCTGTTCCATCGAGTTGTGTCGGCGCTCCAGGGACGGAGCTGGTTTGCAGGATCAGGATGGAACTCCCTGATTGCTCAGGGCTGGCACAGGGAGAGCCTTTGGGAGTGCCCCCGTTCCGCCACACGCTCCCCAAAAACCATCAGGGTGATTGGCACGAGGTCGGAGCCGTCCCGGCTGAGCGCGGCGGCTCCTCTGAGCCCCGGGGCTTTCCGAGGAGCTCCGACGGCCGGGATGACATCGGAGGGATCCTGCTCCTGCTCCACCTCTGTCCCAAGGCAATGTCCCGACACCACCACCCTGGGTGAGGCAGTTAATGATTTTGGGAGGGGGGTGAGGCCGCTGGAAAGCACGTCCATCACCCGCTCGGCTCCGCGCGTCCCCGCGCCGGGCGGGCGAGGCCGGGCTCTGCCAGCTGAAAAATGAACCAGAGGGGGAAAAAACCCAGCACTGTGAAGTGAAAATCCATCCTAAATAAGTTCCAAAGAGCCAAGATGTTGTGATGTGAGGATGTGCTTGATTCCTGCCAGCTCAAACCATTCCAGGTGGGAATACAAACAACTCGCGGCAGCAGCTTATTAGTGGTGATATATCAGTGTCCGGGTGCTGGTTTGTCTCCTGTCAGCAGCAGCTGCTTATCAAGCACATTTCCCACTCTATTTCTGGGGAAAAAAAGTCTAAAATTGATGTTCAGAAGGCGCTGCTGATTTTATCAGGAGCTGTTTTAAGTGGGCACTGGTTGTGTCGAGCACGGGGATGAGGCAGGAAAGGATTGGGTTCAGTCTTATTTATAAGGAGGGAGAACCATAAATTCTGGGAGGGTTTTAAATCTTGGTGCCCAGGGCAGGAGATGCTGGTCATCCCTGGTGGTGCTTTCCTTTCTCTGAGCAGACATTTAACACAGTGATTGAAAGCCCTGTGGCATCTCCAAGGTCTCTGATAGTAAATATCAGAAAAAATGGATTAATACTTCAAATGGGGGGGAAAAAATACTTTTATATACTTTTGCCTTTCCTCCAGAAATATTGGATTTAAACTGTCAGGCATCTCTGTGTTCTTTAAAAGGAAACACTGAGGGTTTTTTAAAGAAGAAGGACTTTTAGGTGTTTAAACCATAAGAATAATAGAAAACAAAGGTCATGTTCTCAGTTGACCCGAGAAGATTCGGCTTCCAGGTTTTCAAAGGTGAAATGCAGATTTTTTTACCAAAAAGTTTTGGGCCTGAGCAAATCCTGTGTGGAAAAGGAAGGAGCAGGGAAGGCTGAGCCAGAAGCTGGTTCTGACCTTGGTGGTTGGACCCCCTTTGCCATCTCTGCAACAAGTTGTGGTAAAAAATACTCACAAAGGAGGTGCTGAGGTGCCACTTGGAGGCACTTGGGTGGTGAAGACTCGATGAGTCCTGATGCTGTCAGGCCCTGATGATTAAATTACTTCTCCCATCCCACCTTCCCCGTGTTGGGCTCATTAACTTGACATTTCATCTCGATTATTTGCTCCTCTTCACGCCCTCCCAGGGGTGTCACTCGTCATTCACAGCAGGTCTGGCTGGACAAGGAGTTCCTGCACGAAGCAGGCGTAGAAAACCCTTTAGGGCTGATCTGCCCCTTGCTTGGCTTCCAAGATGGTTGTTCCTCTTCAAGTTTTGGCAGTGGGGCAGAAAAACCTTCCTGGGGTTTGTCCTTGGTGTGGTTGACATGCTGGAGGGAAGGGATGGCATCCATTGGGAATGGACAGGCTGGAAACAGGAGCACTGCAAAGCTCAGGAAGGTCATCAAGGTCCTGCATGTGGGGTTGGTCAGACTGGAGAAGGGAACACTCCAGGGAGACCTTCCAGCACCTTCCAGGGCCTAAAGGGGCTCCAGGAGAGCTGGAGAGGGACTGGGGACAAGGCATGGAGGGACAGGACACAGGGAATGGCTTCCCAGTGCCAGAGGGCAGGGATAGATGGGATATTGGGAAGGAATTCCTGGCTGTGAGAGTGGTGAGGCCCTGTCCCAGGTTGGGCAGAGAAGCTGTGGCTGCCCCTGGATCCCTGGAAGTGTCCAAGGCCAGGTTGGAGCAACCTGGAATAGTGGAAGGTGTCCCTGCCCCTGGCAGGGGGTGGAATGGGATGGTCTTCAAGGTCCCCCACAACTCAAACCATTCTGATTCGCCTCCAAGGCTTCTCCAAGGATTGCACTGGTCCATGCAAACTCCTGGAATGTGAACTACTCCTTGGATTTCTCTCCTGCTCATCCAGGAAAGGGGAGGAGCCCTGTCCCCCCATGGCCAGCACGGGTGGGAGTCTCAGGGCGTGGCTGCAGGGCTTTGCTTTCTCATCTTTGCTTCCATCTGGGTCTTCTTCTCAGTGGCAGGTGGAGGGGAAGCCACACGAGGAGCAGTTGAGGCTCTTGGAATGTTCAGATGGAGAAGAGGAGATTGAGGAGAGACCTCACAGAATCCTAGAATATCCTGAATTGGAAGACACCCACCAGGATCACCCAGTCCAACCCTCAGCCCTGCACAGGCCCAGCCCCAAGAGTCCCCCCCTGTGTCCCAGAGGATCAGCCAAATCCTCCTGGAGCTCTGGCAGCCTTGGGGCTGTGCCCACTGCCCTGGGGAGCCTGGGCAGTGCCCAACCAGCCTCTGGGGGAAGAACCTTTCCCTGAGATCCAACCTGAGCCTGCCCTGGCACAGCTCCAGCCATTCCCTGGGTCCTGTCCCTGCTCACACAGAGCAGAGGTTGGAGCTGCCCCTCCCCTGCCCCTCACAGAGAAGCTGCAGACTACCATGAGGTTGGTGACCTGGGAAAGCACCCAGGGAACAGCTGGAGCTGTGCCAGGGCAGGCTCAGGTTGGATCTCAGGGAAAGGTTCTTCCCCCAGAGGCTGGTTGGGCACTGCCCAGGCTCCCCAGGGCAGTGGGCACAGCCCCAAGGCTGCCAGAGCTCCAGGAGGGTTTGAACAACGCTCTCGGGAATAGGGGGGGTATTATTAGGGTGTCTGGGCAGGGCCAGGAGTTGGATTTGATCCCTGAGGGTCCTTCCCAGCTCAGGATATTCTGTGATTCTGTGAAAGCCACTCGGCCCCAGCAAAAACTCGAGTGTCTGTTGGAAGTAATGAAGAAAAATCACGCCGGGGCCGTGTCGCGCTTCCCGCTGCGCTCGGGGATGAGGGATCGGCACGAGCCGTGTTTTAAATAACCAAATGTGTCAGAAAAGCACAAATAAATGATGAAAAGCTAAAGCAAAAAAAAAAACAACCCAGGGCTCCGCTAAACTTTATGGTTGCTGTGCTTCATCTTCATTTTAGTGCAGGTGTTTGTTTGGAGGTGAGTGATGAACGTTCCCGAGCCTGGGAACGGCTCGGAGCGGCGGAGATGGAGGACCCTGCTCAATAATTCACGGCCTGGCTCTTTTTTTTTTTTTTTCAAATAAAAAATGCATTTTTTTTTTTCCCCTCCTGCTGAAGATGAATGTGGCCTGAAGACCCAAAAGAACTTTGCAGAGCTGGTTAAAAAAACGCTTCCCGGCACACGCATCAAAGGTTTGCTCATCCCTCCGTGCCGCGGTAACGAAACCGGTGATGCTGAGGGGTAAACTTTAATCCCAGTTTAAACACAGTTTGTGAAGCGCCTGTAAAAGTGGGTGAGATGTCCTAAGCCACGCCTTGGGTTCAGGAAAGCGTGTTAAAGGGCTTTTGTGTGTGTTTGAGGACATAATCTCCCGCTGGAGCTGTTGTCAGGGGAGCACCGTGATCCGCGAGCATCGCCGTGGGGTTGCGCACGCAGACACCGGGATCGGTCCGGAGGCTTTGTGTGGAAATCTGCTCTTGTGCCAAAGGATTTCCCCATTTTTAAGGGTTTAATATGTGGTGCAGACCTGTGCAAACCTTACCTGCCAAAAAAGAGAACCAAGTTGTGGCTGCTCCATCCCTGGAAGTGTCCAAGGGTGGGTTGGACAGGGCTTGGAGCAACCTGGGCTGGTGGAAGGTGTCCCTGCCCATGGCAGTGGGGTGGAAATGAATGGCCTTGAAAATCCCTTCCAACCCAAACCATTCCAGGGTTCTGGAGCCCCTCTGCTCTAGAGCCAGGAGAAGAGGGGCTGCAGGAGCTGTGGGGTGTTATAGGGCAGTGTTCTCACTGTCCCTGTGAGCTGTGAGGGGTTATAGGGCAGTGTCCTCACTGTCCCCATAGGAGCTGTGGGGTGTTATAGGGCAGTGTCCTCACTGTCCCTGTGAGCT